ATAATCTTCTTGTCGGCAATCAGAATAGATATTTCAATGTTAGAGTTGCCTCGTAACGAACAAACGCGATCGTATATTTGTCCCATGTCGATTATCCGATTCGAGGTAGGAGAAAATTCCTGTGGAAAAGGGCGGCGAAATAAAATTTGCAAGAGACGGATCGATGTTTCTACGTCGACGACATATGTATTCGCGTATTAGAGCATCGACACGGCCGAATTCCCAAAGCAAACGTCGAGAAAGAAAAATATTTAGTGACAGTCCCTATGTATCTATGGGGTGGTACCCGTTATTAGGGTTCTTATTAACCCAGCATATGGACTAGAAGGGCGATCTCAGATACTGATCGAGCCTTCCTCTCTCTTTTACTCTCCGTGTCGGTGATCGCGCGCACAGATACCGCAGTTTGCAGTAACAGGTCCTATTTCAAGGGATTACAAATAGATTTAATCTTTATCGGCCATCTTCTGTTTTCCGATCTATCAGCCAGAATGCAAATGCTCGCTTCTCTCGGACCGTAAAAGGAAACTTGAAAAGAGCGAGCAAATCTCGTTTCGTGTAACGTTATACCTCGTTCGTTCGGTGTACCATTTCATGGTTTTAAATATTTTTGATTCCTCGTTATGAAACCCACGTATACACCACTTTTGAAACGTAAACTCTAAGAAGATAATAGACGATAGAAATTGTATTTCTGTGTTTCTAATTAAAACGGGATGCTCTCTCTCTATTAAGACTCGAGAAATACAGGAAAGATGATATATTTTTATTCGAGCAGTGGATAATAAATTTCCAAACGGAACAGCAAATTTATTAATTCGTTTATCAAGAAGTTCAAGGGTAGAACAGTTAACGCGTTAGTTCACTTGATTTGGAGGCTTAATGAGCCCGTTGACACTTTGATGCAGGGTGTCCCGCGTGTCGCCAGGGAATTGCCAGTTCAATAATTCAGAGGCTGGCCGTAATGGAACTTGTCCGCGGGACTCGATCTATCATAGGAAATTGCACGGAGCCCTTTTACCGCCGCTCATAAGAAACATACATATTAGAAGAATAACAGCGGCCTAGCTCGTAACCTCGTGTGTCTGTCGTTCCGTTCCGAGAATTGATTAGAGCCCGGAAATAAATCGTGCGTGCGTGCGTGTAGGTGCATTCGTCGGCATATATCTATCCACGTTCGAAAGAGAACCGAGACATTTCCTCTAAAAAAAAGAGAGAAAAGAAATAAAAAAGAGAAAGAAACTTGTCAAAAAGGGAAGATATGATCGGATTATGTAGAACGGGAGAGGAGAGAGTAGCGCAACATTGGATACGAGAGAAGAATTTCAAAGTTTATCGAATTCCCCACCCAACAGAGATGCTCGCTAGGTGGCCGCTGTTAATTAGCCGTCGATTCATTTAACGGGTTGACTGGCGCGACACGATTATTTCAAGTTTAACGAGCAGTCGATTAATATATTAATGACGATCAGAGGGACTTTGAGTTTTGTTGATGGTCGCGAGACGAAGATGACACGCTGCGTGATTAATTGGTGCATTCGCTTCGAAAGCAGAACCGGTTCGAAATAATCGCCGATTCCGTTTGTGCGAATTTTTCCGGAAGCTCTAAGCTCGTTCCATCTGTTCGAAACGAGAGAACTCGTAGCTCCGACAGCGAACCGGCCTCTCGTCGTCCGTCGGCACCGAGAAACCCTCGACGTCAAAAGCAAAGCTCAGAGGCAATCATGAGCTTTCGAATGCAAAACAGCAGCTTTCGCCTAGCAGCACTCGGCACTTTTACATTTAAATGTAAACTCGCTGAGTGCGCGCCGCAGAGCCACCCTCGCCATATCCTCCCCCATCAAGCAACGGACCCCTTCTCGACCCCCTTCACCACCTCTCGCCCTCCTTCTCTGCACATCGTGCACCCCTATCCGCGTACCGTTTCCATCCGCCTGCTCCACCACCTCCTCTTCCTCCTCCTCCTCCTCCTCCTCCTCCTCCTCTCTTTCGAGGACGTAGGCGATATGGCGGAGGCGCCTGGATTTAATATTTTACACCTCAAATGTTGGGCGCGCGCGCGCCAGCCAGCAATGCAAAACAGCTCGTCGAGTATCCCTCGAGCTGCTGGCCTCCTCCCTCCGTCGCCGTCCATAACGATTCCCTCCCCTTTCGGCTTAGATTGGATTTAAAACGCGCTAATTTGTCGAGCACGACGCGACCCACGCTTTGCACAACCGCCCCGCTCGCGTGTCTTCGACCGTCCGTGTGACCATACTCCTTCTGTAGTCGGAACTGCGTACAGTCGCGCGCCTCTTTGCCACAGAGGTATGTGTAGAGGTGTGTGGGCACGGTGGGCCACATCTAAATTTAAAATCTGCTTTGCATAATGCCCGACCTCGTCGTTGCTCGTCGACCCCGGGACCGCCTAATTGCGGCCTCGTTCGAGCCCAGTGTCCCTTCGACACCTACAGCAGCCATTCTCGAAAAACCGGCTCATTCCGCCCACCACCCCTCGCTCGCTTCCGCCACTTTGAATCGACCGACCAGATAACCGGACACCGTTCCCCTCGTTCTGTCCCTCGTTATCGATCTACCCTTTGTACGAAGATCGATCTTCGATTTTCGAGTAACCTACAATACGACGTTACGTCTTCTCTTCACGAGAAAAGAAATTTATGTTCCTCTAAGATTGAATGAATGTCGGTGGAAAGTTTCCACATTTGACTTCGTCATTATCATACAGCTCAGATATTTCAAAGCAATATCCGAGATCTATCGACTCACAGATAGATGAGTCGAACCACGAAGACACGTAGTAGCGAGGCCATATCTTTCGGCCAGTTGTCGATAATTACCAATTATCAATTACGTGGCGCGGTAACGAGGTAGCGTTCGATCGCTTCACGTAGCCGAACACACGTGCGGGAACGTGGAAACCTCGTTGAGAACGTCGGAAGTCGATCGAAGGAACTCGTTTCCACCCGTTCTTTCTTCCAAGGATAATGGCTCTAGTAATCTAGCTTAACCTGGCGATACAGTACGAAATGAAATATCGCGTATCTGGACTGTAATGGCCGCTTGTACTTGAAAGAAAATCAGGTTTCTTCGTTAAATAACACCTGCATGACAAAGAGCCTGTTTAAAATTACGGTTTGCAAATGAAATTCGTATATGACACAAGGATCAACGTACACACACGAGGTCGACGAGCATTCCGTACACGTGCCTACAGATTTCCATCCCTCGCCCACTAATACAGTCATCGTGACGCATTGTCCAGGAAACTTTGTCACAGTGGTCACGGGGTAGATCGTTCTGTATCGTGTTTAATGTAGTATTAAACGCAGCTATTGTGCCCTACCGTCCATCGTGTTCACAAATTTATTTCCTCGCTTCCCGCTGTCCATCCGCCTCTCCTTAGAAAAGAAAAAAAAAAGCACGGACACGTGCCACCCCCGTTACGACGCAAAGAAATTCGAAAGTAATGTGATTACTCCCTTCTGTGTCCGTTTCTCGAGCAGAAACGGTCATCGGTCTGCGTTTCAGTAGCCTTGCATTTTCCACTAGCGAGGGAAGAAGAGAAAAAGAATAGTGCCAAGTAAGAGGCAGGCGATAGGTATCCTCTTATTCACATGCTAAGACGTTTCGCCGATATTCGCGTACGATTCTTGACAAATTAAGTTTTCGGTCATGATGCACGTGATTTCCCATCCCCCATTTTTCCCCCCTCTTCGTCTTATTAACACTGGCTGAAATTTGTAAGTTTGACGCACAACGGAGCATCCAAAAGAGTTATTTAATTTTTAAGACCGTAGGATGTTGGTCGAAATACCATGGTTTTATAGAAACGATGTATCCGATATTAAGCCGCAAAGAAATATCGAGGAGCAAACGGGTAAAGCGTGTTCGCAAGAGTACCTACATGCCTCTTACTGTCGTTACTGGCAGTTTCCTGCGATAACCCCAGCATTATACTCGTGGCCCCTGAATAACAGGGGAAGAGAATTCACAATGGGCCACAATGACTGAGCCAACATTACGAATTAGGCTCGGTTACGCGTTTATTGCTGATTCCGGTCCAGGACAGCGGCGTCGCAGCGTGTTTTCCAAACCGTGCGAGCAAACAGATGAGCTACGAGATACACGGTCGCGAAAGGACGCCACTGCGGAGATGCGAAGTATTAGCATTGGTTAGCTTTATGGGGCGTTCAGTTCCGCCGTTCTATCATCGTCTCTTTCGCGCCCGTGGTGTTCGTCTTTTCGCTCTCTCTTTCCAGCTCACGTTCGGGAGAGAGCGAACGCGGCAGATCAATAAAATCTGTCTGTCTGGAAAAGTAATGCCAAATCGACTGTCCGTTTTTGGCGACGAACAAATAAATGTCACAAAAGGAGTGGAACGGCTACGCGTACCGACCATTCCGTCGAACCAGACGCTTTAAGGTTCGATTTTCTCCTAGTTCGAGACGATCGAATCTATTTGCCAAAACACCGAAAGGAATCGATTTTAGAACATAGTTTGATACCGTAAACGGTCTTTATGGAATATTGATCAAGTGAAGTGTTCTCGTAGGAAATCGAAGAACCTGAAAAATTTGTTTTTTCACGGTTCGGTGACTAGCAAGACCGGAAAGCACGACAAGGGAACCGAAACTGGGACGCAATAATTATTAATCAATTTCGTATTAATTGTTTTCTGGGCGTCGAGCTTAAGTGGGATGTTGTGTTCTGGCTTCTGGCAAGCTCTGCCCCGTAACCAGCTAAAGTGTCATACAAGAAGATTAATTACGTCGCACCACCCTTTATATACACCATGCGTGTGATTACCCTTCTCCTTAATCCTTGGATACTCGTAAAAGTATTCCAAGTTGCGCGCAGATATTAAAGAAGTGTAGTAAACAGCACGTCATTCCGTGAGAAGGTATTTTCTTCGGGAATGACATTCGACGAAAGTTTGCATTTCGCAAATATTTCAAGAACAAGTTCTTCTGGAAATAATAACAGCTATTGTTTTACGTGCCAGCTTACAAGTACCCGTTTATTTCAGACTTATTTCAGTACTAAGTATCATACAAATTTACAAGAAATATTTTAAGGAAGTAACAGCCGCAAATACGATCTTCAATTGATTTAATCTCAGATCAAGACCTCTTCGTTTTTTCGAATAAGCACGACTCCTTCGTGGTACATATCTACTCTTCGTCGAGTTCTTTTTCGTGATTGCACCCTGGTTGGTGGAAAAAAAGGGGTACGCGAAAATAAAAGAGACTCGAGGGAATAAGATTTCGCCGGTACTTCGTTCTCGATCCACGAAAGAGCCAAGTTAGTTTTATTTTACAATCCATCGGCTTCCACGACACGGAGGGGTGAGTTTCGCCGTCTACTGGTAGGTAGGTACTTCAGTCGAAAGACGAGAAAGAGAGAGGAAAAGAGAGAAAGAGAGAGAGAGAGAGAGATAGAGAGGAACGTGGAATGGTGGTTGGAATCCTTCTGGATGGTTGGACGAGTGTCGAGGAGGGTGTATAAGTTGCGAGGGGGCGGACCGGCTGTCAACTAGTGTTTTAAAAGTTTGCGACAGTCTACAAATTGGCTCGCTCAGTTCTTTTTAAAAGCACCACCAACCAACCACGTCGCGTACCCCACTGTGTCTGTCCTTCATGTTCGCAGCCGTATCGTTCAACGGAAAGCTTACGAAAGTTTTTGCTAGCGTCAATTTATACGTCGAGGATATATCTTGTTATCGATAATCACGTAAATTGACGACATCTTCGAGCTTAACCTAACTCTCGTGTAAGGAACACAAAATTGAGAAACATTTGCGCGGTGAAAGGATATTCTAGAATATTGTAAAAGTTGCGCTCGTTGGTGCGTTACTATTCGACGAACGCAAATGATCGCCTAGGAACGTGGTGAAACGCCCGAAATAAATCGTGAGAAGGGTCTTTTTCTATCAGCTATTGTACGCTCGATCATTATTCTCGAGAGTTTCGAGAAAAGTTCCAACCATTTTTGGACAAATCGACTTCCATCTAGAAGACGCCGGTCCTCGTATGGGGAATATGCTTGCGTGCGATTCAAATCCCGGAAGTTTAAAAGTATTTCGACGTAAAACGTGGCCATTTCTCAAATTTTCTATGCAGCTACGCTCCGCCGTGGGCGCATTTGATACACTCTATTAGTCGCATCCCCGGACTGATTTATCGAGTTACCCGCATTATTATACATTTTCCCAGTTACGGGACCGAGATTCATCGTATTCTGGTAGTTTGCCTGCTCTCCGCACATTCCATTAGTTGCGAGTGATCAATGGTTATTACGCGGACTTAAGATTCGAATCTTTTCTAGAAATGGAAATGTTTTGAAAGAAAAAAAAAAAAAAAAGAAAGAAAAAAGGGAGGGAAAAGAAACATAAAAATGATATCTATACGCGTCTCTTTATAGAACGAATTATGTACGTACTACGTGTATCGCAAAAAATGATAAAACTTGAAAGCAGTCATTGATTTTAATGCTAAGAAGTTAAGGTTAGGAGTTTGAAACCATGAATAAACATACGAATGTTAAATGAACTTGCAACGCGTAAGCAATTAATTACTGTACGTTTTACCTGGTTTTTTCTTGTTGGAAAGTGCAACATAGGGACAAAGTCCAAAGAGTCCACAAGTTTGCGTGTATTAGCTATTTGGATAATATCGGAGATGGTCTCGGTGAATCGAACATCAAAAAATTCTGCGAGAGGAACGATGGCGATTTTAATCCGCCGCCATTGTTCGATTGCATCGTCGATGTGGTTGAAGTTAGTGGTAAATCTGTATGATTCCGTTGTTCCTCGATCCATTCTTTCCGAGCATTATACACAATCATCCATATGCAAGCAGAAAATACTGAATGAACAAAACGTAAACTTTGTCAATCATTCATACGGAAGAAAGAACTCGATCGACAAGTACAGTCTAATTAGACATACTCTCTATCTGAGTTATATAATTTTAACATACTCACCTAGATAGACACTGCACAGTGGAATGTACCATATTGATTTATCGTAAACATCATATTGCTGTTCGTGCGTCAGATGAATAGACAACGCTACAGACTGATCTATTATGCTAATCACTTGCAAATAAATCCAAGGCACGGCGCACTTAGGTTTCCTCTGTGAACGTAGACCGAAGTTAGCAAGATCGTTAGCGAGTTTAAGCAAGGTTGCTACGTGCCGAAAATACGTTCTTCAAATAAAGAAGTCTACGATCGATTCACTTTCAATACACGACTACAACGCTTGTTGTCTTTGGTCATTTACGCATTGTATTTCGAACTTATCGAGAAACATTAACCAGCTAAATATATACTTACGGAAATTGATCCCAAGGCGAGATACGCACTGGCCAGTAAAAACGATACTATGTATACAAGGAAGAAAATCACGGCTGTTTGTGCTAAGAAATTCAAGTTCTACATTAGTGTCATGATATTTTTCGAATAAATCTATGCGTTCGTCATTGTACCCACCTTTATACCTTATTTGCAAGTTTTTCAAAACTTGCAACCAATTAAAACCAAGTATACCCCAATTTTCAACGGAATTAAAGAATTCTTCGTCCGTTATTTTCGAAAAATATCTGCTCATCAACAGATTTATCATAAGTATTGACAGCGACTAGAAAAATGCAAAATGAATAGATAACATAGTAGGAAAAAGATATAGAAGTAGAATATATAACGTAGTAACGATAATATTCGTCATCGATAGAAACAAGTCTGAACAGTAATTTAACAATATTTTCCGTTACCGTACCAAGTATTCAAAACCGGTTTAAGTGACGGATTGTCTGTCACTTACCATGGTGTAGGTGCTGATGATCCTTGTGATCAACGCTAGTCCGATACAGTGCATGTTCTTGTCGAATTGTTAACGTCTTGATACGATGAACTACGAATGCGAAATGCTCGAACCAGCAGGAATGATCACTGTTTTCGTTACTACGTCAAACGACACTTGACTGATCCTTCGTAAAAAATGTAAACACAAATGTCCACAAGTAAATACGCGCTTAAATTTTAAAACTACAAAATTCAATTCTTATAGCAATTCGATCCATCTACTAATTCCTCTGATTATTTCTTCATAAATCTACGCTCGAATCATTATTATCAATAGTAATCGATAATACTTCTAATCGATAATAATTAATTTCGCAATAAGGAGAAAATATTGCATTGGTGTATATATTTGATAATTTTTACGTGATATAGCGATCATTATAGAAAAATGTTATTATTTCACTCAGAAACTCATATCTTCACTCATATCTACAAAACCCACATGTGTTGACAATAATATAAGCTTCTCAAAAAATAATGTTTATTATGTTTCTAACGTGGATTTAATCGCAGATCGAAAGAAGACTGTATTTTCGACAGTAGCCTCGAAGCCAGCCGCGCGCAACGATCTGCGCATGCTCAGTGTCTGAACTAGTCGAACGTAAATGTGTGTCTGACATGTGCTTTTAGGTTAGTTCCACGCTTTTTAATACATATTGTGTTTGTTAATCAATAATTATAGACGTGCGCGTTGTTCTTTTTGAAAGTGTACATTAAAAGAATAACAGTTCCAAATGACTATACAAGACATGGATATTTCTTTGAATATATGTGCAAAACCTGTTGATAAAAAGGTAAGTGAAAGGTTAAAAATGTTGTTAAATTGTTATTTTCATGGAGAATTGTAATTTTTCAATAGAAAATAGGGACAGGAGATGATTCTATCCTTAGTTTAATGAGGCAGACAAAAAATGAGGTAGCTAAAAGTAAAGTTCAAAACAATAATGAGTCAAAAAAAGTATCCGTTAGAGAAAATAGTACGACTAAAAAAAGAATTAAACAAAAGTCTTTAGGAGCAATTGTTGCACTGAAATTAAAGGGAACTAATACACCTAATAAAAATCAGTCTTCTGTTGTACAAAATAAATTAAAGACTAAATCACAAGTAAATATTAAACAGAAGCAATCGCAACAAGACATATCTAAAGAGCCTACAAAAGAATATAAAAATGATATAGAAATAAGTGACTCTTTGAACAACAAAGTGAATGAAGATTCCGATGTCCCTGTTATTTCATTCGCTAAAGTTACCAAAGAAAATTTTGGTAAAACTTTGTTAGCAAGAAAGAGAAACGTTACAGATACAAATACTAAGAAGACATTGTCTAGCATATTTTCAAAACGACCAGAATCTGAAGTTAAAGAAACTAGTTTGTTCGATTCGTTAAAGACAAGAGAACCAGATGAAAATGATATATCAAAAAAGAAAGCTAAAGAGGAATTTAAAGAAGAATCCAAAAAACCTTCTGATTTACCAGAAAAGATAAATCTTGGCAAGAAAAAGAAGAAAAAACAACTAGAAAAGTCGAAAACTGATAACAGTAGCAATGTAGGAGATAATAAAAATACAAATTTCTCTCATAAACCTGTTGGAAAGATATCTTCCTTATTTGGGCATAACCCAGATATACCAAACATTGGACAAAGATTAGTAAAACCGATAAACGAGCCTATATTTGCAGGGACAACCTTTACCGATCTTAAAATTCATCCTTTCATGGTTAGTATCGTAGAAATGGCATATCTGGTATAACAATATATATTTTAATAATTATGAAACATTTTATCAGATATCTAACTTGGAGCAAAATATGCATATCACTAAAATGACTATAGTGCAGCAGAAAGCAATTCCCCAGATATTTTCAGGGAAAGATATTCTAGTTAGATCACAAACTGGTTCTGGGAAGACATTAGCATATGCTTTGCCTATAGTTGAGTGTTTACATAAAATTAGACCAAAATTAAGTAGAAATAGTGGTTTAAAAGCTCTTATAGTTGTACCAACTAGGGAATTAGCACTACAAACTTACGAGTGCTTTCTGAAATTAATAAAAGTAAGTGCTGCATTATTAATTATTTATCGATCACTTGAGTACATTTCCATTCATTTTCCAACGTGTTTAGCCATTTACGTGGATCGTACCAGGATATCTAGCAGGTGGTGAAAAAAGAAAAGCAGAAAAAGCTAGACTGAGAAAGGGATGCAATATTTTAGTCGGTACACCGGGTAGATTACTAGATCATATAAAACGAACGACGGCTTTAAAATTGAGCGATGTTAAATACTTCGTTTTAGACGAGGCTGATAGAATGTTTGACATGGGGTACGAGAAAGATATATCTGGGTATGTTCTTTATCCGTAGCAAAAAATATATAAAAATAAAAATAGAAGTAAAATAAAAAAAAAAACTAATGTTAATATTTTTATAATACAATACCATTTCAGTATAGTAAGTGCTTTGAAGGTGTCACTCCCAAGTCAAAACACAGGATACGATGCCATGAAAATGTTGCGTCAAAATATAAAGAAAGTTTTTACGGATGAAGATCTTGAGCACTTGGAAGAATCTCGAAACGATAAGCAAAAGGATAACTTATTGGTTGAATCGAACAAGGGTATAGATGTAGAATCTGAGGACGATGATATTGTCGACAATACTAAACGAAAACAAGTGTATCATTCTAGCAGTGACGATGATTCCGACCAATGCGAGCCTTACGTTAAATCGAAAAAATCAGATAGGCAGAAAGCTTGTTCAGACTTTGTGGAAAAGAAGGAGTTTGATACTCTGGAAGATAAGACGCAACTCAAAGAAGATGATAATCATAGTGGGGACGAGTCGAGAAGGCAGACGATTTTACTTTCCGCGACATTGACACAGGCGGTAGAAAAATTGGCAGGCCTTGCTATGGATCATCCTATTTTCATCGATGCTGCTAAAGAAAATTTGGAAACAACCGGTGGTGATACAAACGAGCTTAACGAAGATTTAGTAGTTCCACAAAGCGTGAATCAAAGTTATATCGTCACACCTCCAAAACTGAGAATGGTGACTTTAAGTGCTTATATCGCGGGAAAGTGTCAGGTAGATTTTCTACATGAAACTACAATACTATTTTTTCGTACTTAAAATTTTATAAGCTTGCTTGTACTATTAATAGAGTCACGGTCAACATAAAATACTGATATTTATGGCCACGCAAGATATGGTTGATTATCACACGGAGATCTTATCGTCTGTACTAACTAAACCCATCGACGAAGATGACGACGATTCTGATCCTTTGGTCGATGTGGAATTCTTCAAATTACACGGTAGCATGACTCAAAAGGAACGAACCGAAGTATTCAAAACTTTCAGACAGGCGAAAAGTGGTGTTCTACTCTGCACGGTAAGTAACGTTTTATGCATCTAATAGTTAATAGCTTGGAAATTTTCAATGATTTCGTGAAAGCTTACCCATTAGCCTAAAGTAAAATAGAGTCACGAGATCATTTTATGAAAACAGCGAAACTCCTCTGTGAGAACAAAAATTATTATAAAACAGTGGCAAATGAGAGAAACGGAGAAGGAAAGAGTAGAAGAAAAGCTAGAGACACCAACGGCACTCCCCCAGCGGTAAATTACCCCGTGGCTTATTCTTTCGGAGCAGAATTTAATATCTCTGGACCCACGCTGTGCCCGGAGGTTAAAAATTATGCGCGCACATGAGGCCTTCGTAACGAGTATAATTATGATTGTTTGTCCGTTATCTGCTAGCCCTTTCTTTAATTGTTTTCTACATTTAAATAACGAATGCTCGCATTAATAATGCTTATCCTGATAGAGAGATTTCATCGGGAAAGCCGTCGGTGCTGATACTGATACTCACGAAAAATTCTAATTCTGGAATGCGAGCATTGGCTTGAAAGGCGTTTCCTACGTGTTATTTCGTAGAATAACGCGATGCAACGGTTTACGACCGATAGACAACTTTCTTTCCTTTACTAATTACCATCGTATTAGACGAATCAAATTAATCGTGTATCGATTTAGTGAATCAACTTTCTGTTATATCGTGACTCCATGACAACTGCTTTATCATTTTAATTAGTGGTGAAAGTGATCGATCCTGACGCCCGATAAATATCGTTAAAAATGCAGTAGTAATAATTAAATTCATTATCGTTCGCTTTGCAATTTTCTTCCTCGTCGGTTAACATGAATTTAAAGCGCCACTTGAACGAAGAAAAAGGAAGAGACCATCAAAGTCCAGCGGAATGCACGAATTTTAAAATTCATGATCCACGACACGCAACAGTGTTACACATTACTCACAGCAAAGATTAATTTCTTTTAATCAGGCGATTGCATCGTTGATTCAACACGTGTTTCACGGTAACTCGTTACAGCTTGTCATTATTCTTTCTACCTTCTTCATTAGTCTCTATATAAACCGATTAATTGCTATTAAGATTATCGAATAAATAAAGCAAAGAACGTTTAAGGGAAAACGGACATCACGAAACGTTCGTGCCGGTGTTTTCGTTTTCGTTAAAATTTTGGCGCTTTACTTTCGAAAGGTACAAACGTTGATCGCAGAGTGCCTGAACAACGATGGCAGCCGCCCACCACATTTTACAGCGTCACTTGAACGAAGATTCTATGGCAGCATTATTAATTTCCACGTTGAAAACTCACGAGAGCCCCCGCGGATGGAATGTTCCGCGGCTCTCAGCGGTGGTGAATCCGGATCCACGAGGTGATCTATGGTCCGAGTGAGATGTTTTGAGCGGACGATCCGTTCTCGATCCTCCGAGCCACGATCGCGGCCTCTCTCCTAAACGATCGTTTGTCTTAATCGCTGCCATCGATCGCTCCTCGTCCCTGTTTTCGTTACATTATATCGTACCGGTGGCAGCTGCGGTGCTTGTTTCATCTAAAGATACGTGGGCGTCCTCGGCCGATTTCACTTTATCAGACTATCTTTCGGTCGAGTTCTAATCGGACTTGTTTATACCCGCCGATCAATTACGACGATCTTGAAATATTCCTTCTCGGGAAAATAGTCGATCATTTAGTATAATATATTTGTATAGAATAAGTTTATCGTGGAAAAATAATACCATAATCAGCGTGAAGAAACGGATGAAACAAAATCGCGCCGATAAAACACGGTTCGCCGTCAGGATCAGTATTTTATTTCGATAGGGCTAACTTCTTTCTCGTTTTCCTTCACCCCGGCGCCTGGACCGTTGCGTCGTAGGTTGGCGTCGAATTAATTCGATAAAAAGATATAAAAAGGAAGAAGACAGACACATCCGTATCGTGCCGCGAAAGAATTTTCGGGGCTACGACGCCCCCCACTGGTGGTCCGGGATTAGTCTCCAGGGTCGTCAAGCAGAAACTCGATGTGCTCCGTTCGGTAAATCATTGGTTAACCGAACGCAAGGAAATCAGGGCCGTGCTCAAACGTTCGCTGTTGGGGTTTCACAGCGGGCGCTCGCTGCCAGCCGCGCGCATTCACCTTCGTACAAAACGAGAAATCGGCACGGTTTGTAAGACATTTGTACCGGCAGATCGCACGCTCTCTCGGTCCTTGCTCTCGCCTCTTGGATTATTATCGAAGAACAACATGTCCGAATCATCGGCCACAGCACAACTTTTCTCTCTTCAAGTTTTCCATAAGTATACTTTTAATTTCAAATGTACACGTTCGATTCTCCTTATTTAGGATGTTGCAGCTCGAGGATTGGATCTACCAAAGGTGGACTGTGTGATTCAATACACAGGACCGACGTCTGCCAGGGATTACGTGCATCGAATCGGTAGAACCGCGCGAGCTGGTTCTTCCGGTTCGGCCACTATCTTTTTAACCCCGCCAGAAATTGAATTTGTCCGAATGCTCGAGTCTAGGCGTATCAGAATCAGGCAAGAGATCATGGACGATATTTTAGACAACCTACTGACTCCCCTGTCGAAACATTCTTCCGTTCACAACGCAGCGATCGGGCTTCAGAATGAGTTCGAAACTATGGTGTTGGAAAATACGAAATTGCGGGAAAGAGCGTGCAAAGGTAAGTCTGCTCTAAATACGCTAACGTAGATGGGTGATAGATGTATGCACGGAGGTAAGAGCTCGATAGAAAGTGGAGTCGGCTTTACGGTTTTACGCTTAATCCGATTTTAACCTCTGCCATGATGAGACACAAAGTACTCATGAAATTTAGCGAAGGATGAGGAAGCACGCACTTCGATTCAGTTGGATCGGAACGAAAGCGAGCTGACTTTGGGGGACAGTAAGCCAATTCCAGCGGGCACCCTACTCGCATATAAAGCAACCCTTACACGACCGCGTTACAGAGCCTTTGCTCCGTCTCGGTTTTCGTCGGCCACTTGGATATTTACATACTCTCTGGATGATGGGAGCGATGATCTTGTTTGCTGTGTCATGGTTCCCCTATTAGAGTCGTTAAGCCGAAAAATTTATTTGCTGCGATAATAAATCCATTAGAACGCGACGATTCGAGTTTCATTCGGAGGGAATATTTATCCTTCTGCTCGAATATTACGAGCCAGCTGTAAAGTACGATTTGCGATGGCAGAGAGACACAGTCGATAGTGTCAGTAGTGTTCTCGCCGTTCGAGGGTGATCGATTCCAAAACGAAAAATAAAGGCCATAAATCTTTCTAAGAGGTTTTTGAATTTCGTAGTTGTATCACGTCAAGCGTGGCTTTACACGAAGGTTAGCCACGGTTTTTGAGCGCTTAGCCGCCTCCAGATTTGAGTGACGGTACACAGTTAACCACTTGACCGTGCCTCTACGTGCCTCGGGTGATTGATAGATTAATTGTCGTTGATAATTCGACGCTGCGCTTTCCACGAGGTTGTGCCGTTACAAAGAAACAGAGAAAGGCCGTGAAAGCAAGAGATGAACACAAATTTGATTTAGTTGTACGTACCTTGAAATCGGAAACCTTTCAGACGATACCGTGATTCTTTTCTTTTTTTTACAACACCTTGAAAAATCATAACGATGACGAAGCAATATCTAAAAAAGAAAAAGAAAAAGTATCAAACACTTCGTAACGATGTCTTTCGTTCTTTTCTAAGTCCAGAATTTAATTCGCGAGCAATGTAGCATCCTGGCAGAGCGCATAGAAGTGGAAATCTTACTAATTCGTAACATTATCGCCCCAATAGAGCCGAACAGCCCTCAATAGTGAATACAACTCTATAGAACAACCCCCTGGCCTTCGACCACTACCACCAATCAAAGAGATTCATCCACTCCAGCTCGTGTATATGTATCGTCCTTTATACCAGTCCTTAGCTATAGCCGTTTCAGTGTAACTTTGGTAAACGATTCCGATACTTTTCCATCTTTATTAAATTCTATGAAAATTTATACCATCATCTGTCCATTTACGTTTCTTCGCGTTTGTGTTATAGACTTATTACCAATGAAACGATATGTAGCAAATATTTTTTTAAACGAAAAAAGTAATTCAACTTTCCGAAATAAAGGAATTACGAATGTTTATCCCCGATATATTTTTTACAAAATTCTTTCTACTGAGAGGAAATGGATAAATGGTACACAACAAGTTAGATCGAATCTAGTGTAGACCACTTGCACGCCTTTCGCATGGGGGTGGCCGACACAATCCAACCACTGAATGTGGCTTCCGCCAAAACCACTTACGCTTTGTGGCGAGAGACTCTTAACAATGCGATACAGGATACAAATACAATAAGACGCAGTTACATCACTTAGGAACAATGCCACCCCACCCGGCCCACTCTTGCACCCCCTACTCGCGTTCTCTCTGCCTTCTCGGCTAGATACCACCCCCGCGGGTGATTTATGTGCTAAATGGAGAAAAACATTTCTCCCTTTTCAACGTCGACACCGGGCCACGAGAGAAAGATCTTTGCAAGTTTCTTATGTACGGAAGCGTCGAGTCGGGATAGAAGGCAGACGGAAATCAAGCCGGAAAATGTCAAGACATAAGGTCTACGTGGTGAATTATCGGAATTAAAGACGCTTAAGTTTTCCCGACAGAGATCGTCCAAGTTCTTTTTACTAGATCTTACGTTTTAATTTTCACGTACGATATCGGTTCGACAAACAAATTTGATATGCGCTCGGAAACACATCGGAAAGAAACAACGAACTCGCAGATATTCTTTGACATCGATAATCGTAGCTTTCAACTGGGATGAATTTGATCGAGGGGGAGAAGCTGAAGCATGCCGATCCGTCAAAAGAGCGGACAGAGAAGCACTTCACGGTAGATTTTTCGCACGGAGTGACAGTAACACTGGCACATGTCAAGTTCTCTCAGGATCGGCGAACCCCCGAGTTTCTCACCCGCTCGCGGAAGCTGGAGAAGTTAAGAGGGTATAAGGGGGATGACTATTAGCCACAGCACTTGACTCGACCCCCGTTAATGCCTCTTAATAGCACACCGCGGGCCACACACCCCATAGAATCGCGTGCGCTGCCTGCCCCCCGTGGAACTTAATGGAAGCTCGATTAATAAGGGCGCGCAGTCAATGATTAACATCCGAGTTACAGTGCACGTGGCCTCATTTACACGTGGACGGGATCCACGCAATTCTTAAAGCAGTTCGCGACGATTCTCGAGATTTTGTTCGCGTTGCTCGTCGAACGTTGTTAGAGCTTGTAACGTCGCACGATCAGCTGCGATCAAACGCGCGAGTAATCTGGGATCTGGTTGATTTTCAGCGTACACCTCGTGGATACGTTTCTACTCTAGCTACCCACGCGACATGCGGGAGATCTTCGATCGACGAACCGCCCATTTGGGTCACTACGCAAAGAGTTTTGCTCTAAGGGAAACTCCGCAGCGAATCGGTGGAATAGGGAAAAGACTGCACGAGAAAGACAGCTCGAAGCAACAGCATAACAACAGGCTCGCGAACGAGAAGTAAGTACTCGATTTTATTTTGCGATGTCTCTATCGTTACGTCATCTTATTCGATACGATACGATAATCCGAACGGATTCTTATTCGATTTCAACGAGGAACAGGCGAGACAGACTGCCGGGTGACCGGTTGGTCGATGTTTGAGGTAGACAATCACGGAGACGAGCTCGCTCGCAGTATTAATGACGGATTCATGCGTGGCTTAGCGTGTTAACTGCGGTGCACCCCTCTCTCCATCTCTCCCTCTCTTTCCCTCTCACGACAATAACTAACAAACGCAACCACGTGTGTTAACAGATAGTACACGCAAACGTAGCGGGAGGACAGCTCGTGGTTCCTAGAGAGGTTAGATACGTCAAAACTGTCGCTTTGTGTCATTCGTCATGTACGACGAACGGGCGGACATGGTGTACGGTGGCTGGCAACCATAAGCCATACGGCTCTCGTCGTGCTCATCCTCGTTGTTCCCTATCTCTCTCGGTTTCCCTTCGTTTCTCTCTATCTGACGTCGGTTGGCTCTCGTTCTCTCTAACCGCGTCTCCGTCTATCTCTCCGGGTATGCATTTCACATGGCATTCGGCTGGCTTCTGCCCTTCTCCAGGCTTCTCCCGTTCTCTCTCTCTCTCTCTCTCTCTCTCTCTGACTATATCTCTCCATTGTTCATAATTATACAATACGGCTATTAAACAGACTGATGCGACCGCTACTTCCGGCCCTGGCTGCGCCATTTACGGAAACCACGGGACGAGCACGAGCCTCCCTTCACTCTCTGCTTCTCCTGTCCCCGTCTCTAATCTTCTCCCTCTTTATGGAAAACTCTCACCCGCAACGTCACTCTGATTTTCTGGCCATCGCTCGTTATTTCTTCGACCTGCCGTATTTTTTCCGGTGCGAGGAGATCGCGTTTCGTCGATCACGACTATCGGCCGATAAGACGGCGCGTGTACCGTAACGCTAAATTACTCTTTCGCTGTACGACGCGACGACCGTTTCGAATAAATCCGGCCTTTCCACTCTCGTTTATGTCTCCTATATTTGGCTATTTCGTCTTACAGTTCTAATCGTAGAACTTACACAGTAACCGCCTGTCGCTCGCTCCAAAGGGTATTTATCTATCGAGATGTATATCGACGTTTCGTTAGTGACACGCACCATGCCGCTTTCTTTGGGGCAGACATTAAGCACTAACTTGTTTAATGCGATTTGAATGGGCGTGCTTTCGATGCACACAACGGGTAACCGACGGGTGCCCTCCACCCGTAGAGAGAGAACAAGTTCGTTTTAATGGGTGAAAGGCGGGCACCGAGCTGACGCTCCAATGGATCGAGAGACCCATGGTGTACGCCTCTGTGGGTGCGATTACGCCTGTTGTTGTGTGCGTTTCTCTATATATATTTACCGACTCACGCCAGGGTATACGTGTCACCATGTGCGCCCGTGAACACGTCTAAACATCATCTTTTCCACGATGGATCATAGGATACGCGAGAAGGAAACGCTTTAGGAAACGTTGGTGTTCATCGGTCGAGGATCTCGATCGTCTTGGAGAGGCGAATCGAAGGGAACGGTTGTTTTTGGCGAGGTTGCAGATTTTTGCGGACACATCGTCGTATCGGATGCTTCCGTAGAAAAGAACGATTCCGTTTTCTTTCTGATTTCGATGGTTCTTTTGTGGCGCAGCATTAGCCGCCGCCGAAGATTAGGCGAATAAAACGGATCGACCGGGAAAAACTTAGTGACGAACGTGAAATTCGGCACGGCAGTTGGCCGAAATTCCCTGGCACGCCAGCGGACCAGGGGGTGTATTGCCGGTTTTTAATGCGAGTCCGCTTTTTTGTCGATTTTCGATTACCTCGCTCTGTCCTCGCCACATGTCGTTTACGTCGAATTACCGAAAATTGCGGGTTAGCCCTAATGCGACGATTAAGGAGCGTCTCTGCGTTTTCAGGCTCGACGGGGAGCCGGCAAAGAAGCAGAAGCGTCAAGGTGACGAACCGAAGATGGGGTTGCTGAAGAGAGTCAGAATGCTTAACACCTCCGAGTACGACAGCGGCCTCGAGCCCGTGAAGAAGCCAAAGAAATCCTGAGCTACGCATTATCACCTCGACTACTATCGAACAAAATGCGATTTCGTTATCGTGATTCCCACCTCTCATGTAAATACACTGCCTTCCTTTAAGCGCACGGTTAACCGGAAAATCAGGTTACTCGCATTTTCCTCATTTTATCGTAGCTGCTGCTTGCTTATTTCGTTATACCATGCGATGTACATATCCGTAGGTACATGGTTGCACAGATCGATTGTTTTGTATATAGAAATATAATCTCGTTCGATATCACGTATGATATAAAGATACCAAATGTGTGAATATTACGGAAGGAATAAACTCGGCTTACGAAGCTTGCGCGTTACGTTCCTCGTCTACCTCTCTTCCCAAATGAAGTAATTAAATAATTTCAACGAAATTCCTCGCTCCTTGCACAGTTCGTCGTATCGTATACTCGCAGAGCATAGTAAACAGTGCACTAAATTGCGCTACGCCGAGTGTGCGCGGATGTGGTGTTTTTTGGTCGTAAATATGCGAGGACGAGGCGTAAGTATGTCGGTATGCAGACGAACGCAGAATAAAAGGGGGAGACAGAACCGAAAGAGGAAGGGGAGGAATAAGGGCGGAGGGATATGATTAATACGGCAGCATTATTTTCAGATTTTTTGCAGCGCGATCCGCGAGCGCAAATTGCTTGCAAATAAAGGCGGCGTCGACTATCGCCGCTGGTAGGACAACGAAGAAGCGGAGGGGAACAACGTTGAAGAAGAGAAGGGGTGGAGGCCGAGAGCTCAGCCGGGCTTAATTTAATTTAATTATGCCTTCTTTCTTCGCTACCAACGCGCTGGAAGATAGATGGCGTGCTCGGAATCGCCTGAATTGCCTCTCCTGCCGGCATCGGCGTTCGGAATTGCGATTTTCTCTGATAGATTTCGACTTTCCATTAATCGGTCAACCTTGCCGATTAATCGTTGCGATGGCGACATTCGCGAATTTTTCATTCGAAAGTTCGATTCAGCGTTCGGTATTGCATTCGCGATTCTACTCGGCAGCCGATTTCCAAGTGGCGGCTGCGTCACGAAATAGAAATTTATTCGGTCTTCGCGTGCAAAGTTCGTTGGTCGATTTACCCGCGACCAGGAATAATCACCGTACAGCGATTTTTATTCCGCGTGACCGCATATTTTCGAAAAATCAAGCAGATGGTCGTGAGCCGACCCATCGTGTCGTTCGGCTCGTTCCTTCGAACTTCGAGCAGATTCATTTGCCTTAACGATTGTCCGCGTGCCGAATAAAGTGTTTTTCATCGTCGAAAGAACAGTAAGCGTCGCATGACACGGTGAAATTTAATTAAACGTAATGTCCCTCGCTCTCGTCCCGATGCCTTTTCGAAACCCACCCAAGTAGCAATCTGTGAGCGGGCACATTAGACGAGACGGGGCAAAGAGTGCGATATTTATTCGTAATGTGCATCGCAATTCGTCGTGGCTTAGCATCAGTCATAGTCATCGCGAGCGTGCACACGCTCATAATGAACCGTACGATTAGGATATCCCGTTTGTTCATTCGTCGAATGGGTTTCGTGGACGAAGAAGTAATCGTAGATTGCTTCGAACGAATAAAAAGGAAAGCCGAAGAAAGGGTGTAATTCTCATTACCGGAGGATATGCGCAGCTTGAGTCCGATTAATATGACAGAAAAGGGAGGAGGGAAGGAGATGGAAAAAAAAGAGGGGAGAAAAAAAAAACGATAAAGAAAAGAGCCGACTGCACGGGGACGAACCGCGTATCCACCCTCGTGTTTCGTTTTTACGTAGAAAAATGCGTGTCCGCGACTAATGCGCCACTGAAAAAACGTAAGCAGATATAAAAGGAACCGATTATTCCGGGCGATTACCGATTTCCGGCCAGTTAACGATTTTTCCGAATCGTTTACACCGCAGACCGTGTTCGTTATTACCAGTCGTTACATCTGGTATTTCGTTGGCTGCTTTTGAATTACGCCAACATCGAAATCAACGCGCACCGTTCTGCAACAGATTGCAAAATACGGTTTACGAAAGAATTCGTTTAAAAGGCGTCGAAGTTCGATTTTAATTGGATACTTTCAATCGTTACGTTATTTCGAGAATACGCGACACGTGTCGCACGATTCTACTATCGAATTATCGCAGCTGTTCCACGGGAAATATCACGTGTGTCTCACGCGAGCCTATCGTTCACGTGACAAAACTATTTGACGATGAAAAGTATGTTTTGTGATTTCACGCTCGGAATTAAGGATAATATATATCGAGGAGATGATCGTCGATGTTCGGACACGGGTTCGACGATCCCTCTCGCTAGTGTAGCATATTTTTCGTAATAAGTACGTTGTTATCGCGTGCATCGAAAGATATCGAGACGTTTGATCGACGCTCCGAAAGGAAAAGAAGGAAAGAAAGAAAAAGCTGGCGCGATCGTTCGTGTATCGGGCGAACCATGTTAATAATTCAACCGTGTACGTAGATATGTAATTGTTGCTCTAATTATTCCGATAACGGTGCAATTAAGTTTCACGAATAACGCGATTTATGTCAGCGATGCAGTGCACTCTCTCGCCTCGACACAATGAAGAGAGAATTCTTTCGTGACGGCAGGAAGACGAGAGAATTATTTCCTCAAGAGCGGCAAGTGAAATCCGTTCGAAAATGCGTCGGAATCAAGGCGATTAGCATTTTGCAGGCTGCTCATATCCCATGGAAACGTTTTATTGGCCTGTCGTGTGAAGGAGCCATTGCCTCGGCCAGGCGGCGGTAGCGATAGTTGCACGTTACCTGCAATAGCTCTACTCTTCCCTCGTTATTTCCTCGTCTATACGATATGGATACATTGCACTGCACTCACTGTGTACACTCGAATCCTTGGGTTAAACTAAACTGCGATCCGGTTACTCAACGTTCCCTCTATACACTCTCTACGTCTCTATTCGACACTTTAGATTATCTTCTCCGACGCGTTACGGAGATTCTACACGTTGCGTTGATAAACAGAATTCTAATAGAGAATTAAGTTTTTCGTCGTCTTTGGTCGATTCGATTGGAAGGGGGGAAAAAACGGAAAACGCATAACGGCGAAAAATCGTGTAAGCGAAAAGTTGCGAAAAATGTATTACGATGTTGCATTGTACCGTTTCGAACATCGTTATGTTCAATTCATGGTAGATTTGCCGGTCGATAGGATTTCTCGTGCATTACCGCATTAGTGCACTTCATCGCGATAAGTAACAAGCTGTAAACTGCTTTCCCCGATGTGATGCAGGACTGCGCGATTTTGTTGCCTCGGTACAAACGATAATAGCGCCCGTATACACCGGTTACTTAACGTTCATTATAATTAACACGCTCGATGCCTTAACTTTCCCAGGAGGAAAGCGAGAATAATGTGCGTTTGTAATCGCCGACGCGTACGCATTTAAGTTTATCATTTCCTCGAGTCGCTAATGACCAAGGAATTTACAAAATTTAACGTAGCTTGTAAATAATTTTAATAGATCTCGACTCCTTTAACCCCTGCCACGTACCGTGGATTCCGTTAGCTTTTAATTAATATAATTACAGCATCGGGCAACGCGTCATATTTCTACAGACTTAATGCAAACGCTATTCGCGTGATTCTTTAGAAGGTGTTTTGCACACGTTAAAGTACAAATCGGAAAAGGCAAAGATTGGAAAAAGTAGCGACGTTCGCCAACTAGAAATATTTGGACGAAAAGTAAGTCATGCAGGCGGAGTTTAATGAACGATCGCGCAGAGCGGAAGCGTGGAACTCGGTGAAAGCAACGCAATCCCATTTCGCGAATTCCGGGTGTCTTTGAAGCGACGATCCGCCGCGATATTCGCGCTCCGTGTTCCACAACAATTAACCGATGGCAATTAAGACATCTAAATTAATTCGTTATAAACAAGCCAGATATTCCGTAGCGAGCGAAGCCACGTAATTGCCCGGATTCTCACAAGCCGCGCAGAAGAGAGAGAATCCTCGGTGCACACCTACAGCTGCATCAACGCGCGGCGTGTTATACATAATGTATATGCATGTACACCTGCAATTTACCAACACGAGCATCGTCGCCCGGTAATAGCAACAATTACTTTATTTTACCATCTTCCCGGTTCTCAAACGAGCGCGCGAGCTTCACCTAGGCAATTTCATTTCCTCGCATTTTAAATATCCGCCTGTATAGAAGAAACCCGTCGTCAAGGCGACTTTCTTTTCTCGCCGCGGAATCGGCCGACTGTTTAGACGCGAATTAAAAAGCCTTCTGCGCATTTAGCTCGCCTACCGGCTGTCGGTGCGCGCTAAAACGAGACTCGAACGTTCGGGAAACAATGCGCTGATTAGACGCGATCTTCGGTATTTATGTCTGCCGTTGTAGCCTCCACACGTAACGATGGCCTTAATTTGATGATCAAGATCTGAGAAAATTATAAGTTACCGTTTCCTGGAACAGCTTCCCGTTGCCGTGTAATACACCAAATTGAAATTGTAATTTAGTCGTATGAACGCTTACTTACGCTTCGAGTACAACGATGCTTATTCTTTTCGTCCGCTTATGACGAGTCCCTTTTGCCCATCGATAAGCATCGATAATTATATGCATCGATTAAAAGAAGAAAATAAAACCGTCCTGTAGAGAGTTTGAGCTACGTAGGAAAGTTAACAAAGATAGGACATTCCGTGCACGAATGTACGAACAGGAACCCCGGTTGGCGTTTCATCGTCGCGAATACACGGTCCGAGTGGTTTTATGTAATAATTTCATTATTGCACGAATCTCGATAGCTTCCTGATGCCGTGTTGTTATGTTACACGATAATTGTCGTTTTTCACGTCCGTTTCCTCGTTTCGAATTATTCTAGTTACGATCCGAATATAATAATAATAATGCCCGGAGCGTACGGCATACGCTTCGAAAACTAGGCGTTCGATAATGTCACAATAAAACGCGACGTCGCGCATCACCGCGACAACAATTCGCTCTTTCGTTTTATACCTCGTCGTTTATGCTAGTTTTTTCCTTTTTTCTCTGCCAACGTTTCACACGGTTTGAGCGCCGACGAAATCGTTAGAAACTCACTGTCGCAAACATACGTTTTGCGAAATTTTATGTAACAGTTTCGTCGTCTCGCGACTCCTGCCAGTTTCCTGACGGGATAACGCTGCAACGCACGGTAATTGTCATTTTTCACGTCCGTTTCCTCGTTTTAAACCATCCTGCCTATTCGCTGAGCGACATTTTAACGTTAACGAGTATGTAGTAGTTTAACGACACTCCTGGGACTTAATTGGCTACCGGTGGATTCATCATGCCGCTCAGCTACGCCTGTTTCTTTTGTTTCACGGACGCATCAATGTTGCGCTTAACTTTGCAATCCCTTCTCACCGGTGATTAATGTCCTGCAAACGATGCACGATGATGAACAATGACAAATCACTATCGCCGAACTGGTCGGTAATTTAAAAATTCGAATTTAAATAACGAAAATATCTCTCCTTCCTTACGACCAACGAACGAAAGAAAAAACGAAAGAATGGAAAGACGACAACTACGGAGACTAGTACAGGATCGTATTGGCGAGAGAACATCGTTGCCGACAAATTGCAAGGAGTATCGACAGTGTGACGTTTAGCGAATCGATGATGTTGCTGCTGGTCGACGCCTCGCGGTAAAAACGGCGGTTTGAAAAAAGAAGGAAAAAGGAAACGACGGGAAGAGGAAGGGGTGGGGAGGGATACTCGAAAATTATTCCGATATGAAACTCATCGCGCGGCGTATCGCGTCAAAGGAGCCAATTTAAAACAGCCCTTTCCAAGATTATCAGCGCGTCGTTGCGGTGGGATTAATATATAAAAAAGACGAGTACAACGAAGTCGGGGAAGGGTGAGCCGAGAAGAGAGATAAAGAGAGAAAAAGAAAGAGTAAGAGGAGGGGCAGAAGCGTGCGGGATTGGTAAACTTCCCGGTAATTTGTTCGTCAGTCGCTTTGAACCTCTTTTAAACAACTACTGTGTTCTCTTCCACGTTTTTTCGCTATCTTCCCCCACCCTTCGTGTTGCTCGTTTGAAAGAGGAAATTATTGCAGACTCGACGAACGAACGAAGGAAAAAGAAAGGCGGAGAAAGGGGCAGGGAAACGTTGGAGGAAAAACTTCGTGATTAAAGGTGCTTCGGCTTGTTAAATTATTCGGTAAGAAAGTGCTTGGGATGGCATTAAAGATTCTATCGTGAGAAGTTTCGGATGGTATTTCCCTCGCAATTATCGACGAGTCTAATGAATTTGTTCCTACTTCCCTCTTGCTTCATCCTACGCCGCTTCTTTGCAAATCTCAAATGCATTAAACATTTCAGTGTCACTCGTGAACGACGAGCATTTCCATTTCTTAAGTAATTACAGAGAATAACGTGGATTTCAAGAATGAGAAAATTACAGCAAGGGATTGTGTTGCCTTGTATCCTTAATTGCCCCACTTTTAAACGTACATCCTGGATCTTGGTATTAACGACACGCGAGCTCCCTCCGAGTGGTAACGAATATCCTTCGCAGCCGCAATAAAACGTTAATTTGGAGTATCGACATCATGAAAGCAACTGGGCGAACACGATAAACAGATTACAAGATACTTGCCGACCGCAGTGCCCTCGGGCCGGGTTCTACGTTTCTACGTATTTACGTATTTGTAATGCACTTAAATACATTCTGATGCAAATTTCAACAGTTTCTTCAGATCGAAATTATTAAAACAGAAACTTATCTGTATTTCAAATTCCTTCAAACATACGTTTCTTCGCGTTTAATTATATGTGTATCGTTATTTCTACATCTATTAACTGCTATCATACCATATTAAAGGCGATTTCAGAGGCATTATGAAACATAGTTATAAAAGATAAGATCGTTATAACTTACCGCGTAATCTCGGTTACGGATCTCGGCGTGCGTAAAATGGCGTTGAATTTTCCGCTTCCTACGTTTGTCGTTAGAAGGTATTTTTATTCCTCCTCGGTCCTTACGTGACTTCTCGTTGCTTCTTTTCAAACGAGACACGCAAACACACACATGTCGACAGATGGTCAATTGAACGTTCTACAGCGTCGTTGGCAATTCCATCAAACGCTCTTGTAACTCTCGATCGGATAGAATGATAAAACTTTTCGAGGTTTCCTACTTCGTTATTGCTATTTATATCGTTTCTAATTACTTGCGATTACTCTGATAAAAAAGGTCAGATGGATTATTTCATTCATTGATAAATATTATTGTCGAACCAAGTGGGAATGACATCTCATCGATATAATTTTCTGCTGCGTCCAAGTTAATTCGAGGAACAGTGCGACACGGTTCGTTGTACCTTCGAGGCACGAGTAATAAAAAGTGAAACGATCACGATTGGACACACCTGTAACTGCATGGCCATTATGCGATGTTGTCGTGTCGATTTCGAAATTCGATCGCCTCGGATCACCTAAGGTTTCTCGACCGTTACTCGTTGTCACCGGCTCTGCCAGATTATATTTGGATTTGCATACGATCGACGCGAGTCACGAGCTGCCGCGTTACAATCGCACTAACACATATTCCCGTTTCCGTATCGCATCATAGGGAACAATTCAACGCGTTAATTACGGAGGCACAAACGAGATATACGAGAATCTCAGGTAGAAACGTGTCACGCCGCGAAAACACTTGATTAATTAATCGGCTACGATGCGAACATTGCGCGGCGAATTGAACGTTGACAAAAAAGTTAGGTTACGTTCTACTCGGCGAGTCAAAACGGTTTTTACTAATCACTGAATATACCGCGTTGATATTTATCATAATTGGATATCGTAAATCATTTTAATTAAAAAGAAAAGAAATACATACTTGCGACAGTCCGATATAGATATTCATAGAAAAAAATTATACGTGGAATTGTTCGTACATACATTACACTGATTAGACTTTCTTTTACACGCTACTTCCGCTTTCGCTGCGCCGGAAGTGTTTTCATAATTAATTCGTAGGAAAGATACGTATCTGGATTAAACGAGCGGTAAAGCAGAGAAAAGATTTCTTTTTCGATTTTAACGTTCGCACCGTTTCACCGTTATTTTCTATGGTAGAAAAGACGGGACACCGATAGGCGCGAGATAAAGTTAGGTCGGCGTTCGCGCATCCAGGAATTCGATCGGTCCATCGATAATAGATTCTAAATCCGCGAGACTGCGCTGTTCGATAATAATTGGAAGAAGAACGGTTCGCGCTCTAGTCGGTAGGGTGTGTGTACAGCGCACACAGGCTGATGTTAGACGTTTGATTAATAGCGTCAGCGCTCATTGGTCACGCTACTAATAAAGGAGCGTTCACACGTATTAAAAGTTCGCGCCTCTGCGTCCACGCCGGTATGCTCGTCGTCTTCGGTCGTTGTGGTCGAGAGTAGTGCGATATAACGAGGGAATGGCGTGTCTTGCTCATAATTGAAGCGAGCACCTACAATCCAATCGTTCTTAATCATTCGAATTCATCTCGCCTGCGAGTTCCGTTCTCCATTATTGCTCGTTGCCTTGCCAAGTCGCGAAAGTTATACGAACCTCTGCGCTCCGTTACTGCCAATAACAAGTATGGACGAATGACGTTTGGGCAGTTACCGTTCCAGTTCGAGTAAAAATATAATTCGACACGGCAGGTGAGTTTAAGATGTTTGCTGTTATTCGTCCAATGTTAAACATTCGATTTTGTATGCTCATACATCGTACGATAGCAGGTGTATATATAAGGAGGTAACGGTAATTGACGCGAAAACCCGTGGATTTAAATACGTGCTCGAGACAAGCGAGTGCTCGTAAATTAATTTTTCCCTCTCCTTCGTAGTAAAAGGGCGAAGAGATTCGCGAAGAGCGAAAATGGCCGAGATTACGCGAAATTATGCAAATGCGCGGCATTGTAAAGGGGATCTGTTTTTCGTTTTATTGGACTGGGGCCTGCGGTATCCTCGGTCGTATAACCGAAACAAAAGCTTACCTAACGCAGAAACAAAGGGTGTAGGGGCGAGTAGAAATCTCTTGGGGGCACACATGCAACGAATTTAACTGCTTCCCCAGGCATTACTCTTGCTGGGTTTCTTTTATTCCCGCCTATTCTCTAACTACCCTCTCCTATCGGTCTTCGTATCCTTCTCACATGGTTTACTGTTTGCACGAGCGAAGATCTTTCGGCTTAACCTTTATCCGCGATATAAGGCATTGTTAAGAAATCTGCACACTGATACATTTTACGTAACGCCATTCTAAATATCGAAATATACATTTACGCTTAGAACTATTTATTAACAGTAGATTTTCTTCTGACAGCTTATAAATCGATATGCAAGCTTGAAGGACGGTTGCTTTGAAAGGATATTCATTATGCCTCTGAAAGTCCGGAGTCTTCGTAACTGCTTTTAAAAGGTGACAAAATCCCCTTAGAGCACGCTTCGCAAGGGTGGACTAAGTTACAATTAATTAATTGACTTCGAGTCCCTGTAATTCATGCGGTGAGTCAAACTTAATTAATTATCCTTTAGGATCAGAAAGGAAAAGGTTGGGTCAGGAAGAACTTTTCACCTTCCGATTCTAAAGGCTATTTGTAATGCTTTTGCCTATAAACTATTTTACTTTCTATAAAAATGTACATTAACGATCGGTTTCTTACACTGATATTTAATCAAAGAGCGAGTCGCTAACGAAGATAAAAACATTATTCGTATTTCGAATACTTGGTAAGAAGTATTTTTAAAATAAGTAGTAGAATTAAAACTAAGCGCCGTGTAATAATATCAATGAATGTAGCCACTTCACCCTCCCCTCCATATCCGACATCGATAAAATAGGTTGAAACGTCAGTGTGTGGGAAGGCTATTAATTACAAACACCCTCCGCTATTGTAACGTCGCCGATAACTTTTCTATTATCCTGTTAAAGGGGATTTAAGGCCGTGTAGTCTTAACAACGGTACGCTTGTGGGGCGTATAATCCTTACTATCATTATCCATATTTCCTTTTTTTAACATGACTTTTACATCTGCTCCGAGACGAATAAAAATTGGAAATCTCGTTATCCGGGAAAGACGATGTTCAGCTGTTAGGTTGTACGATACGCTCACAGATGTTTCACTCGCGCGATTTTTACATCTGTAAAAGCGCAGGGGCACGATTTCGTTCTTGAAGTCATAAAGTTTGAGGTAAGGACCACCGCGTACACATATGGTACGGCCCTTTGTTGTTAATGGAGGCCTTGATGATTGCGGACGATCGCCGAAGGTGTCTGCCTGTCTGACAAGCCGACACTCTACATTGTAATTAATCAATATTACATCGACAATGGAGTTCGAGGCAAGGGCTATTGTTGTAATTTGCTGTTCTTCTCCCTTTTGTTTACGCCGCAATCGGCTACAGCTGCGATTTTAATTGCACCGCTTTAGCGGGATACAGAGCTGTGCAACTTTCGAAAAATCGCTCAAACCAGATCCTGCTTAATGAGTCCTTGCGATACTGATTGCATCGCCTTCGTTAAATAGCTTCGTCGATTTCACACGCGTGCCTATGTGAACGACAAAAGTCCTACATAACAATACAATTAGTTAACTAAACGATTCCCTCGTTCTTTCCTTTTTTTCTTTTTTTTTTTTCTTTTGGAAAATTTGCCTTAAACGAGGCTGAAAATTAATTGCTAGGAGAGAAAAAAGGAAGAAGAGAAATGGACGAAAATTCGGCGAGATTCTAGCGTAGAAGCGGGAAAGGGTAATTACTAATGATCGCGGAGGATCGTTATTAACCCTTCTGGTGGCGAGGCATCAGGCTTCGGACGTAGCAGGACCATTGTCCATTCCGCTAGGTTCATTACGGTGTTCCAGTAGGGAATGAGGCGATGGTCGGCGGGATGAAGTAAAAAAGGGTAAAAGAAAAATAAGAAAAGTGTCGAGGTCAGAGGAGACCGAACGGCTACCGTGAATGGCGTAGCCTGACCCAAGAGCTGCCGGGCATCAAAGGGCCTCAAAAGGGCCGCTTCGAACCTCGGCTGTCCGAAGCTCATTTGTTTTCACCGGCGTATGGAAAGATCGATCGGCCGATGTCTTAACCCTAGACTCTCACAGAATCATCTGCTTTCGATAAGAAAAATTCTGAGGCATTAATTAGATCGGCCGGTAATAGAGTCATGATGGAAAACTGATTGCCGCGTGGAAGTTCCGGCAATTTACTTACGTCAAGCGTCTTCCACTATATTTTCTTCAACAATTTCTTCCTGATCTTCTTGTACAGGCTTCTTGCGATACCGGCGATCAGTTCGATGGATAGTCGTTAATTTTAATCGACGAAACGATTTGAAATTGTTCGCTCGAAACGACAGAAGCTACGACGAATTCTTCCGATCATCTACGAAATCGTCGTATCTATATGTTCTCACGGCAAAAACACGTTAGATATCTTACGTGATCGCAACGAATGAAAATTCCACGAAGTCAGACGTGCAGACTGGAAGCGTGTTGGGAAGTTTTGAAAAAAAAAAAAGAAAAAAAAATCGGATGAGGAAAAGGTTACGGGGATACTAGGATTGCATTTACAAGGAGCGCGCGCGGTAGTCGAGAAACGAAGTGAAATTATCGATGCGATTGCCACTGAAACATCTCTGGACGAAGGGCCGACAAAGGGTCGATCAGCGATTCTCTCCATCTCGCTTCATCTCGTTTCTTTTTCGAAAGATAACCCCACAGTGGCCACCTTTTTGTTTGCACAGTAAGATTGCTTGCCTCTTGCTCGGAAATTGACCGAAGATTGCGGCCGACCGACGTTTGCTCTGCGGCCACGGCCTTAACTTTTGCGCTACCACAAAAATATCATTGGCTTCCTCCTTTTCTCTGCCAACTTCTTTCTCCTCTTCTTCTCCTCCTTCTTCATATTTCTTCTCGGTATCGATTTCTTTTGCATTTTACGCGTCCGTGAAAAACCAAACGATCCTTTAAATTTTTCTTCGTCGAAAGATTCGACGCTCGATACACGTCATCCGCTTTCGAACGCACTGCTCGAAGAAGTTCGTCATTACGAGATACCGTTTCAAATTTCTCTTAAAGACTATCGAGATAGTTCCACTTTGATAAAACCGTTCTTTCCTTGTACGATTTACAGCCGATGTAAAGGATAGTCGTTGGAAATTATATCGTACAGATTTTAATGCGAGTTAACCGCAAAACTTCTCTTTTCCCTCACGTACTTCTCTTTCCTCTCGGCTCGAAGAGATGATGTCTAAGCTTATTATCGAGCCCCTCGAGACTTCTCTTTCTCTTCGTCTGACTCGTAGGCTTTGATCGAAGTTGATGGAGCGAGCACCGAGCTAACCGCTCAGAGTATTATGTGTCGAAAAATATTCAAGAAAACCTCTTGGGCCAGTCCTTCGAGGAGCAATGACTTTTGTTCGCCACGATACTGTCAGAAGCGATTACTCGTAATGGATCGCGCTCTTAATGCTCCTCGTGGGTTAGAGAATTATCCGTACTAGCGTTGGAGCAGCTAGCGCGTTTAAAAGGGCGTCGTACGAGGTCATCCGATGGCGGTAACGAGCCGCGTGATTTCAACGTACAATTAAAAGTAGGATACGACCGAGTCGAATCGTTTGATCCTCGATGGAAAAATTCGCTCGATTCTGCGTCGAGAGAAAGGAAAGATTTATGACGTTTCTAACGGCCGTAAATCATTGGTATCGTAAACAGCCAATAAGCCGAGATCAAA